TGTTTCATGAATTAAATTTGGAGCATCCCTTTTTTTTTATCACAAGTTTGGCACTACACTTCGGGGCGGATCCACCTTCAGGGAGGCAAATGCCCCCAACTAATCATTTGTAATAAGGTAAAAAAGAATAATAAATTAAAAATTTATATATAGATGTCCCTAACAAAAATGAATATGCCCACATCTAATCATGTCAAATTTATTTTTTATTTTTGTTTAAGTTTTTAGTAAAGTGTATTTTATTGCATATATTTATTTGTGTATAAAACAAAATTTCACATTGCCTATTAAAAATGGTTTACATTTAATAAATGTTTGAAGCAAAATTCATCATTTATTTATTGTTTGTCATTTCAAATAGCCTATAAAAAATTCAGAAACACTGCTTTGGACCCCTTATCAATGGTGCCCCCATCTAACTGAGCTTCTGGATCCACCACTCTCTTTACAAATTTATCACATACATAGAAAAAAAAATCATTTTTTCATATATTTGATAAATGTTAGAAGTGTGATGTCAAACTTGGGGTTAAAAAGTGGGATATCCCAAACACGACTCGTGTTTCATTTCTCATAATTTAAGAAAGATATTAAGGATCATATTGTAGTCACACCAGGTTCAAGATCAATCTTTGACATCATGTATTTCACATAGACAATTATTGTATGTGCATATCTGTGAAATTTATAGTGTCAAACTCTAATCATAAATTATCCAAAGATTCAGTAGAAATCAGTTTGGACCATACGACACTCACACCAAGTTTGATATCAAATTTTGACACCATGCGTTTCTTAGACATGCACAAACAATCACTATCTATGGCGGCACATACATGTCTGTGAAACACATGGTGTCAAACTTTAACGTTACAAAAAATTTACCCAATCAGTTAGAATAAAAATAAAAACAGTAGGTCATGGTTCTATATGAGAGAAGTGTAAGTTAATTTTAGAGCAATAAAAAAAAAGAAAAAATGAAAAGTTTATTTGTGGATTGAGGGAGGACACTCCTAATGCTTCTGTTCAACTTTACTGTAATCTGACAAGTATAAGACCTAATATGGATCAAGCAGTTCTGAGTCATGTGGGAGGGGGGCCTCTTTCCACTACTTCACCAATGGGCCCACCCTCCCAATCTGATGCAAAATGCCAAAGTGTTAAATCCAAGTTTCCCATCCCAACTACCCATGTGTATGCACTACACTCGTGTAATGTCTCTACAATGCCCAATCGTGACGTTAATGCATGCTTTTATAAAAGGTGGTGTCTTATGCTACTCATAGAGAACCATAGCTTTTGTAATTTGAAACAAGGTAACATAATTGATGGTTTGGTAGAATTTGCCTATATAAAATTGTATGGACATGGCTTTGGTATACAGTAGTGGTAGAGAAGGTGAAAGTATAATTTTCTCGGGGTGGTTGGTTCGAGGGGGGCGGGGGTGGGATGGGGAAAGAGAACGCAAAGGAGAGGGTTTTTTAGTTACCTTTGTTTTGTTGGTGGGGGGGGGAGGGGGGAGGGATGGGATGTAGGGGAAAGGAAGAGAAGAATTGGCTTGAGGTGTGTTGGGTTGGAAGAGTATTGAGAAGAGGGGAAAGAAATGTTGATTTTCCTCCAACCCAAAATGCCCTAAAGCTTCTGACAATGCCAAATTGGCGTTGTAATACACATAATGTGCATAAGTCTGGTGCAAAAACGTGTGATATGCACATTTTAGACCGCATTTGATAGCAATGCTGGAATTCTTTGTTTATCAGTGGAATAAACCGAATAAATAACTATTGACGCAGCGGAAATCAAACTTGCCAAATGCTTTTTCTTTAAATAAGATACCCAACAAATACAGTCATTTAAACCAAATACCCCTTACCAAAACGGGCTCATAGCAAATAGTTGTGGCACACTTAGGTATTCAGCATTGCACGCTCAGATGGTAGGTTGACATGTGAGGTATAGCATGCCTGAACCTGTTAGGCAGATAAATAAAATGGTTAAAGTTCAATGCCTTAATGAAATTTCTCTCCCATTTCTAACTCTCAGCTTGAGTTCTCTTTTTCAAGGTTCTAAATTTCAAACAGGTATTATTAATCACATAGTAATGCGTATAACCATGACTCCGGGAAAATATAAGGAACTACTTACATTAATGCAAGAAGTGTGGGTCAAACGAGAAAAGACTCCTTTGTGTGTCTGTGGGATTTGCCAACCATCTGCAATATAGCAATGCGGCAATAACTACTGAAAGGACAGAGAGCATTGCTAAAAACCCAAAATTTGAGACATCGTTTGCAAGTATAGCAACCCCAAACATTATAGATTCTGCCAAGCTTGCAAAAGAAACCTCCGTAGTTCCAATGAGGTTAGCTTTTGATGCTGGGATTCCAGTTTGTAAGATCTGTGACCCTAAAATATCATATGACATGTGCCCTAATCGTGATAATACCTGCCAAGAGTAAATAGAGCACCTCTCATCTTACATTCCAACGAAGACAAATCATGGCTCAATGTTACAGTATATTGCAAATTACCAGCCATACTATATAGGCATATTAGCTGGGGTTGAAGAGATCAAACATCAAGTGAAAAGTGTTCAATAAATAAATTAATAACCCCCCTGTCCAGATTAACTTGCCCATGTTTGCTTTTTGCAGTGTCCAGAGTTACTTAGTAAACAAACTATAGGAAACTATCAAAAACACCCCTAAGATAATATTAGCATTGTTGCCACCAATGACGTGTTAATTTAAAGGAGTTTTTTTAAATATCATTTTACACCAATTTCTTAAATTTGAGGTATTTTGAAAAATGGACACTTAAATCGGAAAAATCCAAACAAATGGAGTAAATAACAATTCCACATATATGAGAAATAGAACAATTAACAGGTGATGTTACATAGAAGTAATATTACTAAAAAAGATAATCATGATAGCAGTCAGAGAAACACTAGTAAACTTATGTGGCATACGAGTGCCTAAATTTTGCTGACTAAGCTCCAACTGGGAATAGGTAATCATAATCAAATTTGACATTTAGTTAGATTCAAAATTTTGGTACAACCTAGTAAATCCTAAAAATGGGATCTGGGAGACGTAGATGTACGCAGACCTTATCACTACCCATTAGAGTAGAGATGCTGTTTTCGGAAGACCTCTGAAGACCAAACCTTTCGAAAATTTGGTTTTTGATATCAGTTATCGTGTTCTAAAAGATCAGTTATTTGGTTTATTTGAAAATTTTCAGTTTTAAACTTACAGGAAAGTTGATGACCAATAGGTGATGCTTTTTTAAACAAACAACAACATTACCCCAGTGCCTCAAAGGCTCCCACTCATTGCGAGGTAAGGGGGAGGCGGATGTATCAGCCTGACCACTATGTTTAGGACATAGAGCGGCTGTTTCCAGATGACCCATGATGAGCATCAAAAGTTGCATTGACTAACTGCTACTTGGCTATCAAAAGAAGCACAGGTAATTTAAAGAGCCATTTTGCTTTATTCCATCATACTCCAAAGCCAAAAAAAGTGAATCTTTAGCTCCATCAGACATGATGGAAATAGGTGATTCTTTTTAAAACAAAAAAATAACTGTAATAATAGCAAGTGATAACCGACTCACTATCAGACCCAAGAAGAAGAGAAGTTGTGTCTGCCGAGTAAGGGATCCAGTCCTATAGACAACTACAGCAGTGCTTAAAAGTGATGCCTGCAATATCAGAGAAGCTGCTCCAGCCTGTAGAGTAAAAAAAAGGACATGGTGACGCTTCAAATAATAACAGGAAAAAAGGTTCACCTAGTAAGTAGAAACAGATAGGCAAATTTGGAAAGAATGAAACCTTTAAGATGCCAAATCTCTTGACCATCTGCGCAGACCCAAAAGTAGCTGCAATTCCCATGAATGCACTCAATGCACTAAAGCTTCCTATGATGGATGGATTTAGGCCTGAAAGAGCCTCTCATGACAGGTTCGATGGAACCCACCAAAGTACATCAGAAATTGGGGGTAAATGATGTAAAATAACTTGGAAATTATTTTCCCTTTAAATTGTGAGCCAAAAACTATTCATTAGACCGAAAATATATGCAAGCCCACATTATAAGCATATTATGGTAAGGGAGATCTTAACCACGAACATTTGTTATGTTTCCTTCGTAATTAAGCTAGTGATATTTTCAGCCCGCAAAATGATGTTGCAAGACGTAAAGTGCATATAAATCAAGAATTTAGTCAACTATAGAATGTTTTAGAAAAAAACCCAAGTCGACGTCAAATGGTAAGCATCTATAGGTAGAGGAAGCTTAAATAAAACTTGTAAGTTAAAGAGATGCTACCTCCATCTGTAAAAAGGTTCCACATTTGACCGAGCACGATTGTCAATCATGGTAAAAATTTGTGGTTGAGGGTTATGCTCACGAGAGAGAAACAATATTAACCACATATTTGGAACAACCCAAAAAGGGAAGTGAACTCTTATTTTGGTACAATCCAAAAAGAAAGGTGGAACCTTTTTCCGTGACATAGAGAGTAAGTTATATTGCAATCAGATCTACACTCATCTGCCCAGCCCAGTCAGCAACATCAGATAGAGAGAAATAGATAACAAGAAATGAAATCTAGAAAATACCACGCTGTGTTAAGAATGCAGTCATTAAACAACCGGGAGCAAGAACAACATTGAAGCATAGTAACACAGAAGCTATGCTTGCTGGAAGAACAGGCTGCTGGATATATTCAACCCACCCATGCTTGATGGCTTTTAGACTCATCCCCGCTGCAAGTAGAAATAATAGAATCAGCACAAACTCAAGATAAGAATCAAATCCAAGTGCAACAGAGATTAGCTAAAATTCACCTATACTTTCAGTATCCAAAAAAGAACCGTTGGAGTGGCAAGTGCAGCAAGCTTGTATAGATTTAGCACGGTCAAGAACCCCATGAGAAAGTTTGTTGGTTAGCCATGTCGAAAGGATCTAGAAAACGCATGGTTAAGATCTCATATTAACATCAGAATTTCATGAAATAACTATCCCAAGTCGAACTGGGATAACTTACCACAATAGGCAATGCTCCTATCATTAAAGTAGCAGCAAACCCTAAGCATTTTACAGGCTCATATCTGGACAGAAAGAAGCCAAAGAGTGCTGCTCCAGCAACCTGATGACAATGATCATAAACCATGTTAGTGTCGTGTGATGAACTCTTTTCATTTGTATAGTGAGTGCAAAAGAAGTTTCCTGCTTAAGAGTATTAACGTTAGGCCATTCCAAGAAGAGAATCAGAAACATGAATGCTAATCACCTCACACAAGAGATCAATTCGACTAAGAATAGCATTTGCTTGTGCAAGAGCAACTGGCCGATTGGTACCTGCTAACTTTGGGCAGATTTTGCACACATAAAATAAACACACTCATAATCAAGAATAGATGAATGCTTAATCTAGTAAAACAAAAGGAGATTTGTGCACTAGAATGCTACAGAAATGAGGATTATGTAATACTACCAAAACAACCCAATCACGTTCAACAGCAACCCCCAGAGCCAGTCCAGATAGCCTTTCAACTGCCCCAGCAAAAGCAAGTAAAGCAAACCAAGGCCGGAAAAGAAAGTTTGAAGATGTGTCATGGAAGCTGTGGGCATGAGTGATCACTAAGACTGATAACAGCTGAGCAACTGCCTGACATAAGAGAAGTATTCTTGAAAGCGTTCTTTTTGAGAAAGAAATAAACCTGCATGTAACATGGAAGAAAATTGTACCTGAACAATGGTCAGACAATTAAATGCAGGTACCCTGGGAAAATGATCCATAAGCTTGCCAACCACTGGACCTCCCACAATGACAGCAACCTATCAAAAGGGAACCGGTAATACATTAGCCCTAACCATCAGACACTTTCTTTTAGCAGTTAATAAATAGTTATACCTTAGCAGCAAAACCCATTGCTGCAACAGGGAGAAGACTTGGATGAAGCAATGCAATTGCAGCAGGCGAGGCAAACCCCCAAAGCTGTTCCACTAAGTTTCCAGCCAGGCAACTGGCATATAAAGCTGGTTGAATATATCAAATCTAGTCAGAAACTGAATACGGAATAATTAATATTGAAACGCAAATCAATCAATATTTTACAACGAGACATACTTATTGATCAGTGATCTATTTGCTATGCAGGATTTTCTTCGACAGATTATAGAAGTGTAACAGCCACAGGTGATTGAATTTGGTAGCTCCACATATAAAAGTATTGAGTCTATTACCTTGAGAAACAATGGTAATTTTGAGAGGTTGAATTGTTCAAGGACTTGTACACAGGCAATAAATATTTTACTATGCGCAACACCAGAAAGTGATATGTGAGTTGACCACATTTGTAGGGATATATTAACCATGCATGCACATTATTTACAACTTACTTTGTCCTTCATATAACCATAGAGATTGACTCTATGTTTTCTGGCTAGTTGTCCAAGAAATTAGAAAATAGAGTTTGGGAGAACTTAGCACCGCCATCTCTGATGGCGTTTTAGAAAAACTCTACATCTCATAATATTGTCATTATATTTATTTTGCCGTGTTTCCAATTCTTACTATCACTTACAATTACTCTCCCATGTTCCTTAATCTGAGTCATGTCACCTAAACCCGAATAGAAAAACAAGGATAGAGAAACAAAATCAGAACAACCATTATTTGTTGTTCATTACTTCATCGTAATGTGGAACGGTCCCAATTCCAAACCCATGACAGAAAGGTGTTGGAATATAAAATTAGTGAATTAAATAAAGATGATTGTGCTCCATTTTGTATGTTTGGCGCAAGTAATCCTCGTTATGGGTCTGTGAGCTAAGGAGGAAAAACGCCAGCCTTATGGTGAAGGAACAAAAACACAGGAATGAGGGAGAGACGATCAGCTCCCAGAAGGAAGAAATACTTTTTAAATTCTTTATTCCATTATAATCATAACAGATAATAAGTGCCTTCTTGTATAGAGTCTTACATTCTTAAAAGCAAAAGGGGACTTAATTATAGAATCTTTACCAAATAACTAGTTTTATCCCTTTTTACTAGTTTTGTTTGTCCCACTATTTTTTGGCACATAACATATTTGGTAACATTTGTATGGTCCCATACCATATATGGTGTGCAGCTCGAATTGATCTACTTCCATTTTCACTTCAATACCAACCACACAATTCCAACTTTCTTAGCTTGTGTACCACCACTCCATGTCACAAAATAGTGGGACGGATGGATGGAATGACAGTTCAAAGAGAGAAAGTACAAACCATATAACCCAGCTGGATGAGCAGGAGTTGCAGCAATAATATTTTGCTCCTCTTCTGATAAGACCTGACATATATAAACATTGAAGGGTCGGTAGAAGGGATTATGTTATTATATTTGAAATAGAAAGAAATAAAGGATGTAGTGTAATACACACATACATGAATTGCAGTCAAAAGAGTGTTCACATATGCTCCCTCAGGCAAGAGATTCAATGCTTCACCCTCCAGAATGTCAGATTTGATATTTACAACAGGAACTGTATATTTACAATCAGGAGATTCAAAATTCTCCTCAACTTGTGTATCAGTTGCGTCACCAAGAACAACATTTGCTATTGAACACCTAGATTTGAACGTAGCAACCCTGCGTCTTCATCATTTGAGCAAGTAAGAACACCAGCATTTGTTATTGAACACCTAGCTGTAAAATTAGCTACCGTGTAGCAGCAAGAACAACCCAATATAGGCATAGTTTGGGAACAACGTTCTTTTATTAGCGTTAGTGTTTTGGATAAAATTTTAACGGTGTAGATTAGCTTTTAAAATGCTAAAGATAAATATTGCCGTTAGATAGCCATTTCAAAACTTTAACTATAAATACTAACGCTATTGCCAAACAAACCCATAATCCCAACTCCGTTAGAGTCTGGGGGTCAAGATGTATGCAGTCTTACACTGTAAAACAAAGAGGCTCTTTCTGTTAGACCATAGATGCATTGTTGCATTCACTGCCCAAAACTTCTTTAAAGTAAGAAGAAAGGGAAGTAATATTCTAATTTGATTTAGTACATTGTGTGCCTAAAATTAAAACATTGTCAATAATGACTCTTTTAGCTCCATTGATAATGGGCGAAAAATGAGCTATCCTGCAATTAAGGAATATTGTTAGTGCTAAGATCCAAAGTCAGGAGGGAAACAACCCAGATCGTATGCTAAGGTCCTTAAGCAATCACTTAGTGGAAAGGAAGTGAAGGAAAATTGGTAGTAATAATGTGGGTCTTTCAGAAACATCTCTACCTTTCTAGGTAAGGGTAAGATCTATGTACACCCCCCCTTCCCCAGACCCCATTCATGGGACTTTACCCGGTTGTTGTTATAGTATTGGTAAATATAGACGTAGGAGAAGCATTGTAGAGGAAAGATTGACTATGTGTCAAAGGAGCCTACCTCACCTGCTCAAGGCTTAAGCGAGGACAGAATAGATTAAAACTTGACTAAAATTCTTTATCAGGTCATTAAAAAATGTAATACTCCATGGGTGGCCATGAGGGCATCGAACATGTACAATTGCAAGGGCCCCCAAATTTTAGGGGCGATAGAATTTAGATTCTAATACTAAGAAGTAGATTAATAATATGTATTGGTTGAGTTAAAACCTAAAATAAAATAATGATTGATCTTGGGATTGAGATCATTTTCTTCTTTACTTCTTTTAAATAATTTAGACAAAGCTTGCATTCTATTAAAATATAAAAGCCTAAATTCCAAATTTTATATATTTTGGATCAAATGTTCCAAGTTCTCTTAAGCATGTCTCAAAACTTGCCATGATTTAGAGCTATAGAATTATAATGTTAATTTGCTAATTTTGATGATTAATGAAAGCTTATTACACTATGTTGTTTACATAAAAATCTTTGTTTTTGTAAGAATGTTATGTCTTTCCATAAAAGATTGTGTGTGTATTTTTTCTTAATTTATCTAACTTCCTTTAAAATTGTGTTTATATGTTTTGCCATGAAAAACCACAATGTCTTCATTATATATATATATATATATATATATATATATATATATATAGGGATCGTCTCCAGTCAGATGACACCTTATGGTAAGATGATTACAGTCAGATGACGTAAAGCTCACCACTGCCAAGTGTCAACTACAAAGCTCACCCACAACTACAAAGCTCATCAAGATAAATGGCAAAGCTCACTTATTTTTTTCAACACATTATTTTTTTTTCATAAAAAAACCAAATGAGTGGACTTTGACCGCTGACTTCCTCCGTTCACTGTCACCGCCACTTGGTTGCCGGATGTTGCCGCCACTAGCCGCTACCGTCACCGATCGCCGCCGCCGATCAATGGTGGTCCAAGTCACCCTTTGATTTTTTAAAATAAATTTCAACCTAAAATTTTGGTGAGTTTTGTGTGTGTTTGGGGGGCTTTGCAATGAGGATTGGTGAGCTTTGTTCTTAGAGTTTGTGAGCATTGAAACTTCAAAGTTTTAAAAATTCAAAGTGTGAAAAAACATGTTGAGCTTTCCCATACATTTTGGTGAGCTTCGTAGTAGTCCCGGGTGAGCTTTGCAGTGATAAGTGGTGAGCTCCAGTGTCAACTGACCGTAGCATGTCATCTTACCGTAAGGTGTCATCTGACTGGAGTCGATCTCCCATATATATATATAATTTTATTTTTTTTAATATATATATGTGTGTGTGTGTGTATTTATACTCTGTATATATTTGTGTGTATTTTGCAGGTGAGAATGCTCCTAACGTGAGAAATGAGAATAGTGTATTTTTGTCCTGATGCACATTTACATCATGGGTCTAAATGATGATGAGTATTTTGAAGATGACTATGGTGTTGACTTATCTAGTGTCCATGATGAGTTTATGAATATAGATATTGATATCCATATGAATGACATGTTCAAAGTTTATTTTTCAATTTGCACGTTTGGGTGATTAAACTAGTAGGATGAAGATGAACTTTTATTTGAATTATGTTGTTATTTGTTGTCTTCTAAAAGTTCATCGCCATCCTACTAGTTTAATCACCCAAACATGCAAGTTTAAAGATTATTCTTGAAGATGACATTCATATGGATATCTATATCCATAGACTCATCATGGACACTAAAATAAGTCAACATTATAGTCATCTTCAAGATACTCATCATCCTTTAGACCTAAGAGATAAGACAACGTTAAGTCAAAACATTTTAAAATTTGGCTTTTAAAATTTAAAAACTGCCCAAGAGGCTGCCTAGGCCTGAGGCAAGGGAAAGGCGTTGCCTGGGCGGTAAAGTGCTATGCCATGGACACCTTATATGTCTACCACACTCAGAAACCCTCGAGGACTTCTATTACCAAATCTCAAACAAGTTATATCGTCATTCACATCACCTAGTTGTAATATTACCACAAAAACAAACATTAAACCCCGTGGATAGTGTGAAGAATGACAATCACATCCTATATTTTGTGAGGTAAGTGTATGTCTTTAATCAATTTTGCCCAACCGTGGACATCTTTTACATCTATCCCACATGTAGTTGTAAAGAGAAGTATCAATTTTCAATTGACATTTATATACTCGTATGCTAGCTAATCCAAAACAAATCTATCATTTAATTAAAGTCATGTTCTCAATAACACAAATGAATTGTTCCCTAATTGCACTCGGATTACAAGTTAAATAAAACTTGTAAGTAAGTAACCTCAAAATTAGGGTGCATATATCTCAAAAGACAAAACATGATTAAAAATTACTCTCAGAATGTATCAACTCGAAATGTTCAAGAGTGAAAAGCAAAGCAGGTACCTCAGGGGGGTAAAGAGGGGAATCAACCGCAGGCGAGAAGAGAAGCAATGGCGTACTCCAAAGCAAGGCCGCGCCATAAAACGATCTTGAACGAGTGTGAATTGAACCCGTGACCAAGCATGAGAAACAATAAACACGCCCATGGATCCGCGCCCTTGAAGCACAGCTGCTCCGCTTCAACTGATCCTTCCGCCGTGAAACTACTCATGCAGCCTCCGAGGAATTAGGTTCTCCGGTGGTGTCCCGGGCCGCCTTAGACGGTGGGGGTACGGGAACAGGCAGGCAAAGTATAGGGTTCAGAATCTATGTCCGAGCAATGGGTGAGGGAGATGATGAACCACCGAAGTCTACACAGTCTCTGCGAGGGATTGTACATCGGTACCCTTTATCCATCAGAAAAAAAGGAAGTTGACAGTAGATCCAATTGCGGACATTTCGACGCTGACGTGTCCCTATCTATCGTCCAGCTCATACTCCCCTCCCCCACACGCAACTTATACTCCTATCTTATACGGAGTACTATATACACTCCCAAAAACTCCTTATTTCTTTTTTTCAATATCTCTCAAACTTTTTTCTTTTTCTATTCAAAAAGAGTTAAGGAATAAAATAAAAGTAAAATATTGATTAAAATCTAAAATAGAAGTGAAAACATAAAACTCCCAACATAGGAGTTGTTCTCTTGAAATGCACCAGGTGGTAGTAAATCATTAGGCAACCCATTTACAAATTAAGAGCAATATTTATTTTTACTTCCCTCGTGCCGCTGCGCTCTCACACTCCTCTCGTGCCGCGCCAATCATTCCCTTCGATTAGATCTGTTTTCTCCCTCATCTGGATCCAATTGTCCTTTATTGTTAGATATCCGGGAGCGTCAACAAAGACTTTCCTTAGTCCACAAAAGGAAAAACAAATCAGGAGAATGAAGCCAATGTGTGGTGACTTTAATTGGGTTGAATTCATTCCTTTTTCCTATCTTGAAGCCCAAACCAACACCATTGTTGTCCTACATCCCACTTAGGCCGAACCATCTAAACCCCAAACAATCCCTAAACATTCAAACCGCCTTGTCTTTTATTCCCTTTCAAATAAAGTCTTCCTCCACTTATTTTAAGTCCCTTGACCGAAAATAAGAAGAAGACAAACCAAAAACCTTTTTTTGTTGTTCTTAAACTTTAAGTAATCAAATAACACACTTCCCCTCCTCTTCCTACATTATGGACAAAAGGTCCATCTCCCTAATCCCCCCATCATCTCTTCAATGAAATAATGTATAATTGGCCAAAATTAATGTCAAACCATAAACTAAATCAGGCCCTCCTTTGGCCTAATTATAGGCCCCAAAACATGCCCCCTTTTATTCACCACCATAACCACCAAATGTGCTTCCTTGTGCTCCCCACTTTGGCCAAACAAACACCCA